ATAAACGTGAACATAAAATGGTTTGATAAGAGAAGAGTAAAAAGCTTTGATCAAATAAAAAAAATTTGATGCAAACTGACATAATTTCAATCTGTAATTGACATAATGGGTTAATAGCCCTGAAAATGTTAATTAAATCATTAAAGATAACATTGCCTGCATTATAGTGGCCAGAAATCAAATAGAACATTTTAATTTTTGGAAGTGAAAATTGACTTTTCCTACATTTTTGTTTTTCTTGCACGAATACAACTAACATTTTATAATCTGTCTGGATTATCCATGTTTGAATATTAAATATCACATAAACGAAAGCAACTGTTTCATTAAAAAAAAAAAAAAAAGACAACAAAACTTTCTTGTCAAGCATTAGGGTATGCTAATGAATAATAAAGCATTTTCTCTAATTTTCTCATGGACACACTTCTCCAATCTGAGCACTCTTTATGTGTCCTTAACAATGATTTATTTTTCAGGATTCTAATCATGATATTGTTGTCCATATCTGAGACCTGAAAATGTTGTTTGGAGATCATAAACTCCTATGCTAACTCCCACTTCCAGCTTAATTATTACAAACAATCTCTAGCTCACATAAAAGCCAATTAAAAGGCAGCAAGAGTAGCCATATTTAATATAAATGATATCAATGGCTCATGTTCTCTCAGCATGAATTGGTTTAAACACTTATGCTATGAATAACTACAGAACAAAATTTGTAATTCTCCTGAGGTAGAATAGTTTTTTATAGGAGGACTTCTTCAAGCTGTAAAAATTTGCATTTATATATAGACTGTATTATTCTTTCAAAATCAAAAGTAGTGTACTTTCTACTGTAATAACTAAATATCTCTTTGAAACTCTCGGTGAATCTGAAATGCACAAATTCTCTATTTAAGCATTAATCACTGGATAAGATGAAGGCGCTTTCCTGGAAAAAAAAAAAAAAAAAAAAAAAAAAAAAAGATTAATGTAGGAAAAAAACCAACATCTAATTTGTCTTTTTCTCATCTGCTATAATGGTAATACAAAAGTTCTATAGTCTGTGTAAATCTTTGTTTTAAGAAGTAGGTACAAAGCCCAGTTAAGAATTTTATACTTTTCTAAACTGGATTGCTTAATGAAGCACATACAATCCTCAGCACAAAAACGTCACTAAAAATTGATTTAAAAAATAACTTGACATGGCTTCAACAATTCCACACTAAGGAGATCTAATCTTATGCTTGAATAAATTAGCTATCTGATCTTATTTCTATGATCTATTCCTTTATAGTCTTTCTTTATGCAAGAAAAGTGAAGAATGTTAGAATTTTCAGCCATCTAGGCCACTGTCTTCATCCCTTAAATCTTTGTCAAAAGAGAATCCTCCTGGAAGCTACGCTAAGGCATAGAAAGCCCACAGAAATGATCTAAACATCTCCCCTGTGAGGGCAAGCTGAACAGGAGAAGGTTCCAGGGAGACCTAATAGTAACCTTTCAGTACTTAATGGAGGCCTATGAGAAAGAAGGGGACGGACTCTTTAGCAGTGCCTGTTGTGACAAGACAATGTGAAATGGTTTCCAAATAAAAGAGGGAATAATTACATTGGATATAAGGAAGAAGTAAAAAGTAGTGAAGCACTGGAACAGGTTGCCCAGAGAAGTAGTGGATGCTCTGTCCCTGGAGACAATTAGGGTCAGGCTGGACAGGGCACTGACTCACCTGATCAAGCTGTGAATGCTCCTGCTCATTTCAGGGGAGTTGGACTAGCTGACCATTAAATGTTCCTTCCAACTCAAGCTATTCTCTGATATTCAGTACACTTTGGCCTACTTGTAGCTACTAGTATCTGAACCATATGAGATGAAATAAAAAGCCAAGTGATTTGATGCTTATATAATATGCATTTAATAGAAGAATGTCAGTCTCATTACATCACAGTCAACACATGAAATGTTCACATATGATTTTGAAAATTGTTTTTAAATTAGCAGAGTAACTAAGGACAATGAGATGTGAAGAGGAAACCACACAAAAATTGACACTAGGATCAAAAAGGTATAGAAGCAGCGTGCATATGATAGGTACTTAAGATCAAGTTTAGAATGGTCATTTTGCTCTGTTTAGCATAGAACAAGTGCTTAAGTGATGTAAGTCTATAGATAATTCACTTTATTACTATCTTGAGTCAAGTTCTATTCTTTAAGTGGTTGGTGGCTTCCTATTTTTTAAAGCTGGTCACAAGAGGGCAACATAGTTACATATGTATGGAGCAATTCTGACATTTCACCAAATGGAAATTTTCAGTATAGCAAAATTACTGTAGGGTATTAAAATTGCTTATTGATTGGTGCTTCTAAAGGCATAAATATCAGATTAAAACTACAACAGGTAACCTTAACCTCTAGATGAGTTTTGTAGTACTGTCTGGTCATAGTATAACATGTTTTTTTCAAATAGCATGTAAAAGTTGAATACAATTTTCAGTGCATTCTTAGGGGATGTGCCTGCTCTCTTTGGAAAACCATGCTTTTGCCAAATCTATACAAAGACAGGAAAAATATGTATATCAAACAGGCAAGTAAAACAGAATAGTCTGAAAATTCTAATGTTGGAAATTTCATCCCCTATGTTTCTTCTGATGCTCTCTTTAAATTCTTTGATTTCATACAATTTTTATTCATAAGAGCTCTACCTCCTTTTCAGATTATACCATTTTCAAATACTAAACTCTGTAGCTTAGTGACTAGGGAATATGAGATATTTGGGTAGAATACATGTGATACATTAATTTTCTCAATTTTGTTTTCTTAATAAGATCAACTATATCAACAAAACCTCTTAGGTGAACCGCTGATTAAAGACATATTCTGTTTGTTTGAATATAAACATCCTCCTTGATGACAGCACTGCATAACCTTTCAATAATTTCAAAGTCAGTTTTTGTTCAGATCATCACAAATATTCTTACAGAAAAAACATGGTAGATCTTATACTCTGAAAAAACAAAGGCTATTTTCTTAGTGCTGATTATCGATTTCAGGGTTGTTTACTATGTTTATATTAGATATAAGTCACAGAACACACAAAGGAGCAAAGAGAATTCCCAGTATACGTACAATGCTGATCAGCAATATTGTCATTATTAATTACCACAACATCACAAATTGTGTATAGGAAATCAACTGGAACAAGACTTCCAAGGACTCTTAGACAATGTCAGACAAAAATAAGTTCCAGTCACTGTAGTAACAGATTTGAATAACCTTCTGATTGTATTGTAGTCAATGGCAAAACTCCCACAAATATCAGAAAGGGCTCAAGTTCAATTTGTGACAGTCATCATGAGCCAAACAACTAGCACTGGCATTTTAGATGTAAAGTAAGAACAGTCAGTCTTTCCATGACTTGTTTGGAAATGAATGCATTTTCATTGTCTACAGTGCTTCAGTACCTAATCTGTATGAGGAAAACTCTGTAAAGCCAAAGTACAGATTTGGAGGACAGAGATTTATAAATGCTGACATGTTACTTTCTCACCGTGCTCCTGAGAAAGATCTGAAAACTTTTTCACGTCTTGGTTTCAGCTGGAACAGAGTCTGGTGTGTCTGGTATGATGTTATGTTCTGGCTTTAGGTCAAAAGCAATATTGGTAATACACTGCTGTTTTAATTGTTGCTGAGCAAAGCTGTACAGAGCCAAGAACACTTCAGTTTTTCAGCTTCTTGTATTGTCCTGCCAGTGAGAGGACTGAAGGCATACAAGGAGCTGGGAGAGACAGAACCAGCACAGCTGATCCAAACCAGCCAAAGGGATATTTCATATCATATGGCATCATGCAAAAAATATAAACAAATTGATGTAAGTTGGTCAGGTGTCAAGCTGAACTTGGGGACTGGCTGGGCATTGGTCAGCAGGTGGTAAATGATTGTTTTGTGTATAACTTGTTTTATAATTACGTACATATATATATATTGTTGTAATTGCTATTAAATTTCTCTTTTCCTTTTCTATCATAGTAGCTTTTATCTCAACCCACAAGTTCTACTTTTCTTTTTTTTCCAGTTCTCTTCCTCATCTCACTGGGAGATGAGGGAGTGAGCAAAAGGCTGTGTTTAGCTGCTTGCATTTTTGGATCACAACTTGCAGAGATTGAGTATTTCTTTGAGTTTTCTTGTCATGATCAGCTTTCCACTCTTACCTTGTTCATTCCAAAATTTTAAAGTTGTTATTTATGTGGGGTGAAAGGATGCTGGGAAGAAAAGAGCGAGAAGATATAAAAAACATAAAAAATAAAATTCAAAACCAAATTCCAGAAAAAGTCTTGTAATTCAAAAGTCAAGTGTTGTATTAAAAATAAAAGTTAAAAATATTAAAATGAATATTTTGTTTATTCTATGAGACAATATATATATATAACATATTTTTCATTTCTAAACAGAGTAAAATTATGATCAGTGACTGTTTCTCTCACATTATAGTTTGTTGCATAAAAAATTTAATGAAATCCTAAGTTAATGTGAGAATTCTTTTGAAGAATGTGGTCTGTCAAACAACATCTCATTTAATCCCAGGCCTTAACATAGAATGGCTTGTATTAGGAGGGACCTCAAGGATTATCAAGTGCCAGCTCCCCTGATGCAGGCAGAGTTGATTGAGTACTCGATCAGGTTGCCTAAGGTCCCATCCAACCTGGCCTTAAACACTTCCAGAGATAGGGCATCCACAAACTCTCTGGGCAGCCTGTTCCAGCACCTCACCAGCCTCTCAGTGGAAAACTTCCCCCTGACATCTAGTCTAAATTTTCCCTCCTCTAGTTTAAATAATTTCCCCTTGTTTTATCACTATCACCATGTAAAAAGTTGATTTCCTTCCTGTTTATAACAAGCTCTTAAATACTGGAAAGCCACAATGAGATCTCCTCCGCAGCACTCTCTTCTCCAGACTGGACAAACCCAGTTCCTTCAGCCTGTCTTCATAGGAGAGATGCTCCAGCCCTTGCATCATCTTTGTGGCCTTCCTCTGTACACTCTTCAAATGCTCCACATCTTTCCTCGCGCAGGGATTCCAGACCTGGATGCAATACTCCAGAGAGGGCCTCATGAGAACAGGGTAGAGAGGAACAGTCACCTCCCTCACCCTTCTGTACATCCCTCATCATCTACATAATTGATAAAAATGTTAAGGAGTATCAGTTTCAAGACAGACCCCTGGGGGACAGCACTCATCACTGGCCTCCACCATGTAGAGACATAGAGACGTATGGACATAGAACCATTGGCCACAACCCTCTGGCTGTGTATATCCAACCAACTCCTTATCCACCAAATAATCCACTCTTCAAATCCATATTTCTTCAATTCAGATATAGGAGTGTGGTGGGAGACCATATCAAAGATTTTTCAGAAGTCCAGGTAGATGACATCTGTTGCCTTCCCTTTATCCACTGTCAATTCACCATAGAAGGCCACCAGACTGATCAGACATGATCGTCCTTTGGTGAAGCCGTGCTGACTCATGAGTCTATCTTGAACTTGCTCTACCCTTATAGTGGGGAGTATTTTACTCCCCTAATTCTCACTAGGAGGCTTATGGATGTAAGGTTAAGTGATGTGAGAATTTAGGCTGCCAGTGAAGACTAAAACAACGAGCTCATCTTTATGTTGTCATCCTTCTCTATATATCAAAATCTCTCAACAGTGAAGGCAGAAATGAAGCATTAGTCATTTTTATTGCTTTTGTCCTTCTAGTCTAGTTGTTTTCCTTCTTGTTGTTTAAACTAGTATAGCACACGAGGTCTGTGAGCTTACTCCCTTAAAGCTACCCTGTGTGTCATCATCTTATTTTGTTAGCAGTTCTCCTTCACAGATTTCAACATCCTGTCTCTTCTTCACTTCTTGTTGTTTGTTGTAATCCCAATTCTTCTGGCAGAATCTAGTTCCATTCTTTTTAGATCTTTACCTTCCACGAACATATTCTTTTATTTCATAAACTTGAGACTTCACAGATCTGTAGTGCAGAATGTATATCCATTTCACATTCTCAGGTGAACTGAAGATCAAGCCTTGGTTTTAGGGAAAAGATAAGATGGACAGTTTCTAAAATGCTGTATGAAATAATTTAATGAATAGCTGAAGTGCTGTTAAACTACATAGACAATCTTACATGAGCTAAAAATACTGCCACCTAAAAAGGTAACAGGAAAAATAAAGGTATGTCACATGTATGATCAGTCCCACTGACTGGCATGTACATATCTGTGGAATCTGCACTTAAAGCTAATTATTTGTGTAAGGAAAAAGGTAGGTGAAGCGCAGACATCAACAAAAATAAATGGAAACAAATGCCTTGATGACTGCAATCTAAATGTACAGAAGAATTTGCTGAAGTCCTTTTTAAAGCAAAATTCTTGTTAAGGTGTTAAGATGTAGAGAGAATTTAATTCTAAGAAAATGCAAAATTATATAAAATAGTATAAAGAACAAAACATAGTGTAATAACATAAATTTCACTATGGGCTGCAGAGCAGGAAAATGAGAGCAGATCCTTCCTAGTAGTTGTAAATACTACTTTAAAGGAGTTTCTGTGAGCAATAATCAGACCAAGCTTTACTACTTGAACTGATATACCCTTTTACCCTACAAGAAAAGTGAAGGTAGGTGATTTCAAAGAAATAATTTCTAATGTCCTTTTTTTATTATTTTTACTTGACTGTACTTATCAGTAAAAAATAAATATTGCAGCAAAATACACAATAGAATTTAAGAATCGTAGTAGGCAGTGAAAAATAAGAAGTGCATGAAGTATGCAGCCTTCCATATATTGCAGACATTTATTTTAATTCTTATATATTCACTTTCACTACTCCTGGGATAATTCTTTGTGCATTCCCCTGTGGACCACAAGCCATTCTCCAAGGAAAGGTCAGCTACCTCAAAACTCCCTCTACTTCTTTCTTCAAGGAACTCAACATGAGTGAATAATTACAGAGATTTCAACAAGCAAGCCTCTCATGTCTCCTACTGGCTTTTAAAGGTACTATTATCCCCTAATAACCTGTAAAATCTCAGAAAGAAGGGCAACACAGAGAAGTCCAGCTGCTTTCTTTTTCTGCTTAGCTTCAGCACGATGGAAATCAGGAGCCCCTGACTGTGTTATGGCCTTGTGTCAACTCTTCCACTGCTGTCACCCATGGTAGCTCTCTTTTCATGACAGGTTCCTCCTCATTAGTTTTTACATTCTTACTGCTGAAACTCACGCACATTCTGTCGTACAGTTGCACTTCAGGCTGCCACTCACCTAAGATTCAGGACTTCATCCAAAGTACAGTGAATCTTCCAAAACTTTTATGATGATTTGGATCTGATTTGTAAATAAAAAATAAGAAAAGACTTGGTTAATTGGTTTTCTATGTTTCCCATTTTTACTATATTTTGACACTCTCTTCAAAGTGTGAAAGAAAATCATGCTGACATGAACCTTTTCCACATGTGGCATACTTAGAAAAAAGTGAATTTCTTGCAGTAGATAAGCACAGCAGAAATTTCACTGTAGGAGTACTGTGACAGATGAATAAGTGCAGCTGGCTGCACTAAGTCCTTTGGGAAGTGCTAAATCACTATGTAGTTAGAATAGTTTCTACAGAAATCATATAGAATCATAGCATACCCAGAGCTGGAAGGGCTCCACTAGGATCATCAAGTCCAACCCCTGGCTCCACATAGAACCATTCAAATCTCATGTCCTGAACTCTGGAAGCTTGGGGTTATGACCACTGTCCTGGGGAACCTGTTCCATGGCTATCTCCTCTGATGAAGTATTTTTTCCCAGTCCTCAACTTAACCTTCTCCTGACACAAATCCATGTCATTCCTTTAGGTCTTGTTACTGTTGTCAACAGAGACAGAAGTTCAGAACTGCCCTTCCAGTCCCCTGGTGAGAAGCTGAAGGCTGTCATGTACCCTTTCCTCAGCCTCCAATGCTCTGGGCTAATTTGCCCTAGGTGACTCCTTCAACTTTTGTTTATCTCTCCATTAAGCTCTAGAATCTCATATCTGTTATATAAGGACACCTTGCAACGTGAGATAGGCAAGGAGGGGATTCACCCATCACTCTGAGTACAAAACTTCCATTTCCCTTTCTTTCTTTGGTCCTCCCTTGCCTGGCGATAGAGGGCAAGGAATCTTTCATTTCTTGTGCTGTGGCCAGCTGAGCATAATTTCACCATTCCATATCCTCTGATTCTGTGACTAGAGAGGGTAGAGGGGATGCAAAGGACAGAGCACTTTGCCAGCTGGGTGCCATGAGTGGAGAAACTAGCAAGCCATTTAGAACCAACATTGGCAGTAGCCATGTTCTGCCACAACTGCAGCCAGGGCCACTTCTGTCCATGCAAGAAATGGTCGCTGTCACTTCTGGCCCTAACCATTCTTGTCAGCTGCTCTCTGAGAGATGCCAGCTTCCATCAGGACTTCATGCTCCCCTGGTGTTTGACAGACATCATGTGGTCATCTATGAAAATTAAAAATTTATGCAATCTATATAGTAGCTTTAAAATAAGTACCCTGCAAATGAAGCTTTCAAAATTGAACAATGATCCTACATATTAAATCACTCTAGAAAGTTAATTTGAAAGAGAAGTCTGCAGCCCGTAAGGAGGAAATGCATATTTGTTTATTGCAGTGTTCTACCAGGTTGATTATATTTTAATCAACCATATTGTAAATCAGAAGTTTGAGATTTAGTCCAAATGGATTTAGTAGGTTCTGTAGTTTATTACCTTGTACATATGCTTTGGATTGATTAAAGCAATAGGCAAGAAAAAGTTTATTTTTCTTTTAATAACTGTAACATAACAAGAGCAGGTAGATAGCTTTTCTAGTATGCCCTTTTCTGTTGTTTCTTTTTGGTAAAGACAACAGAACTCAAGCAATCAACTTTGCTGACAGCCACAGTTCAACTTGTTCTCATTGGAAGGGGAAGAAGTGAGGAATGCCTATCTGAAACTCCTCTGTCTCCATGAGATTTTAAACCTATTCATTATCAGACTGAAGACATTCTGCATTTGTCAACAAAAATAATAGTACACATTGTCAGATGCACTGCATTTCCACAGCCATGCTTTCTTGACAGAGAAGACAAGCAAATAACCCCCATTTTCTCTCTACTTAGCCTAATTTGTTTCTGCTACCTCAAAACAGACTATTATTGTGTTTATAAATCAAAGTATAATGCTTCTTAACTGCATGACAGTCTCAAATGTGATGAAGAATTTTTGGGACTACAAAACTGCACACACATTTGCTGACGGTAAACAAAGAATAAAACGGTGAATTAAAAAAATGCACAAAATGGCAATCCATATTTTCCCACACACCTCTCTATCATAAACTCCATAGATAGTGCTATGTCAATACAATAACAAAAACCACATCAAAGTTGAGAAGCATGCTAATACAAAACCTTGGACTTCCTAGATAGGATTATATTTTTCAACATTAACAATGGAGCAGCGATAACAAGGAGAACCTTAAATGAGTTAAGTGAAGAGAAAAAAGATACATTTGAAGATATTGAGGATACACTATTTTAGAAGTTCTATAAAAGTAGACTGTATCCCTTGTAAAGCTGAAGGGAAGATTTAAAATATTTCAATATGGGGCAAGCACAGATACATATAGGGAAATTTCAGCAATGATTTGGATATTTCTTATTGAGTCCTTGCACACATGAGGGAAAGAGCCTGCATTTTTTCTTATTCACGCTAGCTAGACTCTGAACCAGTCCCTTCCCATAATCCCCACTCCAAGAAGATAATCCTTTACAGCTGGCATACCTCCAAGATTTATATTTCTGCAAATCAGCTCATCTCCTTGATCAGAAAGTATGGATATAATTATGACTGTTGAAGTCCATGGCCATCTTTCCTGTTAGGGGCAAAACTTAGTAAAGAATAACCACATGGTCAAAATCTTCCTCAGACTACACAGAAATCCACCATTTGTATAGATCCCTCCTCTCCTTCTTCCAGGGAATTTGTTCTTTGACTCCTATGTTTAGCTTCAAACACATATTATAGCCCTTTGCATCTTGTATTTATAGTCTTTATGATAAAATGTCATGCTTTTAGTTTGTGTGCTCCCTCCCCACCACTCCTTCCTCAATAAATAAATAAATAAATAAATAAACAACATAAATAAGAACTTTCACTAATAGTGGAGACAGTTGCTGATATCAAAGAACGATTTAATTGATTTATTGGTTTTATGTTCATATGTATGCAAGCACTGCTTACATCACAATATTCGTTCAGGTCTTCCAAATCTTATTCAAGGAAAACTGACTTTGGATCCAATTAGAAAAAATTATACCCAGTACTTTTGTAGTCAACTGAAGAATGAATCTGCTTGACTAAGAGTGGAAAACTGAATATATTACCATATGGTATTACTTTATACATTGAAAGAAGTTGCTTCAAAACATTTTTCTTTACAGAAATGTCAGTTCCTTTGCATTTTGGTTGCATGGCAATGCTAAACTTCTCTCTGCTCAGCTCAAGAAAAAGAAAAAGGAATATGAAAATTTTGGCACCAAGCTATCAATGAGTACATTATGAATTAAAATCTTGTGGAAGGAAACTACACAACATTTCTATTAAGGATTTATGTTCTCCTAATCCTGTTAGTTCTTTTTTTCTTGGTAAACCATGAGGATACTTTTTTTTTTTTTTTTTTTTTTTTTTTTTTTTAATGTTTAAATAGAAAATGTAAAGGTATCCACTATTCTAAAGGTCTCTTCTAATCTAAACAATTATATGATTCTATGATTCTTCAGTTTCCCAATTTCTTTAACACAAATTTATGTGTGAGTTCTCAATAGTTCCATAAATATCATAAAGTAAATCTCAACAGTCAGAATTTTGTAAGTCATCTCTATTTTATTTTTTTCATCTTTGTACCTTTCAAAATTGACTACATTCACCTTAACCATCTTCTTATAAGTGACCATTTAAAATAAAGAATGCTAATAACATTTTTACTACTCCTGTATCATGTTCTGAACATAATGAGGGGACAAACTATTGCCTTAAATTTTCACTCACTCTAAGCACACATAGAAAATCCATCTCTTGATATAATTTATCTTATTTGTTTCACTTTGCTTTGTACTTCAACTTCCTGTCTTTTCCTATTTGCATTATTCTTTAGTTTTTATCCCCAGTAATTTCACTAGTTAGCCTATTGGAAAAAAGGAACTATGAAATTAATTTCATCAATATTAAAAGCAACTTCGATTTCATAAGCTAAATTTGTAAATAAGCATTTAACAATATAATATAATAAATATATTAAATATAAATATAAATAATATAATAAAAAAAGGAAAGACTGGATGTTGTGTTGAGGGACATGGTTTAGTAGGAGCTATTGGGAATAGGTGAACGGTTGGACTGGGTGATCTTTTAGGTCTTTTCCAACGTTGGTGATTCTATTCTATGATTCTATGAATATTATAAATCCAGATTTGCTAAAATGTGCTCATACAAAGTTTGGGACAATTTCAAAAATATCTCTTCCTTCCAGTTCTTAAAATGTTAAAGCAGGAAAACAGTATATGAACCTATAGTGAAATACTGTGTGTCTGTTCCTTTCTCAGAAATCCCAGTGACTACACTATGACATTGTCAAGCATTGTACAAACTAATGCTTCACATCTTCTTATTTTATTTTATTTTATTTTATTTTATTTTATTTTATTTTATTTTATTTTATACATGTCACATAAGTATATTACTCATATTTCTTACCCATTTCAAAACATCAATATTTTGGCATGAACTTCTTACCCTGTGAGAGACTATTTTGTAGACATCTGCTGAATTAAAATGTACAGGTCTTTGCCTTTAGCAGTCCTAAAGTGATATAAGTTTTCTGAGACAAGAAAGAATAAGAAAGTCTGCTGGGGAATAATTATAATATTTTAACATTACTTTGGTGTTTTCTTTTATTCTGAGAATCTTGCACCACTAGGAAGGCCAGGAAGTACATACACATCACTTTCAAAAAACAATCCAGTAGCCAGTCCAAACTGTTAAGAGCAGAAGAAATTATTAGAACAGAATTCAGATATAAGAATCTTCTGTTGACATATCCTACAAGTCTTTTCACATCTGTACTATAATGCTGCCCCATTACTATAAAAAGTTAGGCTTAAGGACAAAAATAATCTATCAGATTTCAAGTTACAGTATCTACACTCACGTTTCCTCTGTACTTTGAGCTGCGCTTATTTAGCACCAAATTCAAATCAATAACAGAGTTTTTGTTAACATACTCCGAACCTAAGCACAGATTATAAAGCAGACTTGAATGCTTCTAGCATTCACACATCTGTGCAAACATGAAAAAAATATATATATTGTTCAAACATCCTCAGAATTTCACACTGGTAGGAAATCTGCTTTTTCTTTCCTCCTGATTCCTCTATCTTTTTCTCAGTTACAAAAAAAAATGGGCAGAATGAAAATGCCAGCATTTATCAATTACAGCTGAAAATGAAAAAGAGATTTAGTCTACAATAAACAACAATTTTTGCTCAAGTGAAACAAGTCATAAGTATTCTGGCCAAAGATCAGAATGTATTTTTGTTAACAAAGCCACTACAATCAAACCTAATGCTATCCTTCTGAAAAAGTAATTAAATTTTCAAGAAATGCAACAGTAGGAAACTTGGCAGGTAACTTATATTACTGCTATGAAAGTTACTTCACAGTCTTCCTTAACACACCAGTTAGGGTGTTTCTTATATTAGGAAAAATACAGATAAATTAAGAAATATCACCTTTCCAAAACAACTGAGATTTTTAAACTAAAAAACAACAACAACAACAACAAACAACATAGAAATATATAGGTATGAAAGGATTTCTGAAGTTCAGTAATGCCCTGTTAAAAGCAGAATGAACTCTGAAGTCAAAGAAAACTGCTTAGTGCTGTGTCCAGTTGAGTTGATCTCCGGGGATGAAGATTCCAAAGCCTTGTGGAGCACCTGTACTGTATTTGATCACTTGCTTGGTGAAAACTTTTTTCTTACCTTGCTGAGATAATGAGGACAGAGTATTTGCTAACAACAACAACAACAATCTCTCTCTCTCTCTATTTTATTTTATTTTTAATTGGTAAAAGGAGACGTGCATATGAAATCAATTTTCTCGAAAAAGATCATAGAATCGTAGACTCATAGAGTGACCTGCACTGAAAAGGACAATAATGATCTAGTGTCATCCCCTCTGCTCTGTGCAGGGTTGCCAGACACTAGATCAGGCTGCCCAGAGCCACATCAAGCATGGCCATGAATGCCTCCAGGGATGGGGCATCCACAACAGGGGAGATTTAGATTAGATGTTAGAAGGAAATTGTATTCTGTAAGGGCAGTGAACCATTGGTACAGGCTGCCCAGAAAAGTTGTGGATAATCCATCCCTGGAGGTGATCTAGACCAGGTTGAATGGGCCCTGGGCAGCCTGAGCTGGGGAGTGGCAGCCCTGCCCACAGCAGGGGATTGGAACTGGGTTATCTTAAAGAACTCTTCCAAACTAAACCATTCTGTTATTCTAAAGATCTATAATTTTATGAGCTTAAAGTTTTTGTCATTGTAGCTTGTGTTTGTTTGTGCTCTATGTCAAGGAAAAAAAATCCTAAGATCACTCAGAACTTAAACAGACTGAAAACAGCCATCAGATCAGTGAAAATTACCTAAATAAATGCTTTTCACTCTCTGTTAGGCTTAATAAATGAAACCAAAAAAAGGAGCAATAAATTTACAGTCATTATTCTGATTGTTAAATGATTTACCAAGAAAGCTTCTCCTAACTTATATAGTAAACACACTGTCCTTAGGATAAGGTGCTCACTATTTTTTTTTTTCTTGGTCAGTGAAACGTTGATCTACTCTGCTGCAGTAGATAAGGCAAAGTTAAAAAAGAAATGCATACAGTATGCATTGTGCTACTGGTGGTGTTACTCTCCACTGGAACCAATTAAATCCCAGCACAAACAGACTGTAATCCATTCATTTTATTGGAATAATTTATGCTTTCTATAAAGCAAGATAGGGGCCAGAAAAGTAAGGAGTGATTTTGAGCATGCTAATATAGTGGTATGTACATACCATGCACTGAATTTCTTTGATAAGAGAATTTTTCTAAAATTACCAGGATCCCGCTGAGTAATCAGAAAGCAAGATAAGAAAGACAATATAAAAGCATAATCTTCAAAATTCATATTCCTCACTTCTCTTGAAAATAATAGAAATGAAAATTTTCTATTCCCTTAAAGTAATAAAGCATAACGCTTAATATATATACAGGTCACATCAATCTTCCCTTTTATCAAGAAAAACTTTTCATAAAAAAATCTTGACTGATAACGACTGGGATAATTGTATATAAATATGTGCAGTCTTAGAACGAGAAATATTGAAAAAAGCCACCTAGATACTTTTTGAAATGAAATCCAGGGATATTATACTGTGATATATGTCTATTAAAACAAGTAAAACAATTTAGTTCTCTGTTTTGCACTAGTTTCATTTATATAAGATATATTGACTATTAACAATGAGATCAGATAAAAAAATAAAAAAGTCTAAATGTACAAGTCATATGGAAAATAATGTTTTAATTTGCTTACAACCCCACAGAAAATTTCATTTTCTTTCTTATTTTGGTTAACTATGGAGTAAAACTGTTTAACTGCATGTCATCTATTACTTTCATAGTCAAAGAAAGGCCTGGGTTGAAAAGGACCACAATGATCATCTGGTTTCAACCCCCCAATGCTTCTTTCCTTTTAGACTTTCAGTAGGAAAATGCTCACTCTTCATTAGAACTCTCACTGCTGTAATACATAGACAGAAACAGAATCACTCAGTCTTTGTGAGTATTGAAGACTGGATGGTATTTAAACCTTTAAAACCTTTATGTTTGTAGACTGTAATATCTTTACTGGCATGGGTAGAAGTTTACTAACAGTTTAATGTTTCCTGGTGTTTTCGAACGAGCAAAATCAAGATTGATATTACTGTTCAAGGCCTGTACCTTATCTCCCTGACTACAGCTGGTCTGCCTGATCTGGATTTACAATTCTCTGTTATACTTGTGAAAACAGATGAGACAGCCCTATTCAACATACTGTTAAATTGCCCCTCTGTACAGGAAGCAAGACTAAAAATTCAACTTTTTACCTTTTGTTCTCTTGTTTCGGTCTCAAGGAGGATTGTAGAATTTACATCTTCTTAGTCTTCCAGAGCCTAAATTTCATTCTTTATAGATCAAAAATAAATTCAGAATTTGTGAGGCAATACAAACCATTGATCATTGCATCAACTGAAGCCTAAGTATTTCTTAGACCCTCACTTTTTCTCAGTAGGTAAGTCATATAAGGACCTCATAGAATGCAGTTCTTTCCTCACTTAGTATAGCAGTTCTTAGCATCCTAAAGGATATGAAACCAGCTTCACTTGGTGCATTTTGCTATATTTAGGTCACCTGAGTGTCCAGTTATGGTAACATTTTTCTAGCTTGATTTTCAGAATTCCAGCCTTACACAGATTATACAAAATTGAATAAACTTAATCTTGCATTGCAATGTGCCGCCTTCTCTTTTCTTCCATTAAGAGTAGTGAAGTAATAGTGACAAAGAAATTTGACAAAGAAATGGCAGGGAGAAAAATTAATTTGTCATAATTATATAATTGTAAAGATTAACAGTGAAGTGCAATGCAATATAAATCATTAAAAATGATATGATACTGTGATATAGTATTTACCCAGATATAGGTTGTTAGATTTGTCATTAAGAAGTCTGACTATAAATGCACATTCCAAAAATTCTTATGTGTACCCAGAGTACTAAGCAAAGACTCTTTCTTCAGATTCATTCCTTTTAAATAGATTGTCTGTTCTTACCTGATTTAGTAATGAAATCACACAGGATCAATAAAATTTGTTCTTTCTGAATGCTACGCTGTCTTTTAATTTTCTTTAGCTGTTTTGTGTAATACTCATAAAAATATTTAGAAAATAAAACACACTGTCCAAAAGTTCTACACAATTCACAAAAGCAAAATTTTGCCTCTTGATATATATATATAATTTTTAGGATGCAAGGACTCTTTCAGAATGTCTAATAATGAAATAGCTTTCTTGAAATTCTTTCCTGCAGATTATGTAGCTTGGAGAAAATTATTGCTTTATTGGATTTTCATGGCAAAGCAAGGCTTTAGTGGCAGGGGAGCTGCGAGGGTGGACTATGTGAACCAGTGTCAATTGCCAGTGTTCCATAGCAGATGAGAACCAATGTCATATCATAGAATCATAGGGTCACAGAAACACCAAAGTTGGAAAAGACCTCCAAGATCGTCCAGTCCAATTGTCTACCTACCACCAGTACTTGTCCACTAAACCATGTTCCTTAGTACAACATCTAAACATATCTTGAACTTACAAAAAAGAAGGTCCAAAAGGACCTGTTTCTGCCAGAGCTGAGCCATGAATGATGCTGGATGTGCTCTTGGAGAGCTGATTCAAGGAAAAAAACTGCTGCACAACAGTAGCTAAGAGAGGAATGAGAAATGAGACAAACAGCCCTGCAGGCACCAAGGAAGGAAGGCAGGAGGAGATCCAGGCAAGGAGCAGCAGCTCCCTGCTGTCCAGGAGAGGCCCACTGAGGAGAAGACAGTCTCCCTACAACTCACATGCTGGAGCAGATCTCCCTGTGCAGCCATGGAAGAGCCCATATTGCAGCAGGTTCCCTTGGAGAGTGCCCTTTGGAGAACTCTATTCCTGTAGAGCTGTAGCTCATGCAAAGGACCCATGCTGGACCATTCTGTAAGGGACTGCGGCTTGCTGGGGGGCCATGTTGAGTGTCCTGAGGAAGAAGTGATGGAGAAAAGCTGTTAAGGCCTGACCCTGGTCCTCTCCCCCATTGTACCGTACTGTTCTGGGGAGAAGCGGAATGTGAAGGAAAGTGGTTACCACTTTATTTTTGTGTAGGAATGCGATTAATATTATTTCAATGCTTAGGGAAGGCGATATAAGTGATGATCCTTTCTCCAATGTACTTATAACGAACAAACTTACTAATGAGATGAGAATTGTGGAAATAAGTTATTAACTTTAATGCTGTTAATGTTATTAACATTATTTTAAAAACAGTAGGAGAAACAAAAACAAACAAAACAAAAAGTAGGCTTTATGGTCAGGGTTAAAATGAATGGAGATAGAACCTTAACCTAGTTACTCAAGTCCCAGTTTAACTCTCTGGCCATGACAGTAGTTTTGTCCTCTAGAAGATTACGGCAGTTGCACTGGGAAGAGTTTCCCAAAAGATGAAATCATCAGGTAATTGATGGAGTAAAGGAAACCATTAACAAAAATTTGCAGTGAACATTTTGAGAAGCCATCTCCCTCTTACACAATATCAAACCTGTCATGAATAAGCACAGGCTACTGAGTGCAGTGCTAATGTGCTTGAATTATTTGTCTTTTGGTGAAAAGGCTGTTTGTTTCCCTCTGTGTCATATTACAACTGCCTGAGAGAAAAATAATTCAATGAAAAAACTTTCATTTGATGAGTGCAGCTCATTTGCTTCTGAACAAAAATTTGTCAAGCAAAAAAAAGACATTGTCATCTTGTAGTGGATGGTAATGTATCCTTTATTCTCTCTTCCAATACATTTTCAGTTTTGAAACTATCCCTGTCATTTGTGATATACTGAATTTCAGTAAGCTATCTCTATCTAGTGCCATTTTAATGAAGCCTTTAATATGTCCCAAACTATTCTTTCCTCATTAACTATTTTATGACTAAAACTTTTCAAACAGTATCTGCTTCTTCACTACACAATATTTAAAGTAAATCCAGATATGGAAAAAAAGGTTTTAGTCTCATCACTTTCTTGGCTGAATAAGTCTTGCAATTTTGAAATGTCCTTAATAAAACTGCAAAATTGAAATGGACTTATACTGGAATACACTTTTCACAAAGGTGTATTCTAATAATATTATAGAACTGCCATAGTAAAAGTCATTAACCTTCTAACTGGACAAGGAAATTCTGAGGAAGTATTATTCCCAAAAAGGGCTCAGTGAGATATGTGGGAAGATAATTTGCATTGACTTCTTATGCTTTCTCAATATAAAAAAAATAGGCAGATCAAGGCAAAATGCCTTTAAACCTGATGATCTCTATTTTGATAGTTTTATTGTTTTGTTTTCAGGAAAAAGATTGGATGGAAATGGGACTAAATAATAAAAAAATAAGCTGTCGTTTGCACCAGAGGTTTGTCACAGGAAGTACATTCTGTTTGTTTCTGAAAGTTCCACTGGTTCTTGAAATCCTGACAGCTGAATACTATTTCTAAAACTGCTATCATCTCTTTAACATTCAATTTGTTATTCCTCTGCTTAAAAACTGTCAGTTACAAGGCTTTCCTAAGCAGCCAAATGATCAATAAAAAACATCTGATGAAACCAATTACACACCACAAATAATGGGTAAAATATAGTCACAGTGGACAATTTACATATACCCCTTAGACTGCAAGTTGCTATCTAAGCTATTCAGATTACATTTATGCATAAAAATCACATTTAAGGAATGAAACTCATTTGATAAACGATTGTCTAACTGAATAAAGAAGGCGTAATTGCTTAGATAATTTATTTTCACAGGGAAACATTTCAACCGGTTCCAGAGACTATATCATCAACCTCCTAGAGCTTGACAACCCGCTAAATCCCCCGATAGCAATTCTAAAATCAGATGTCTTACCTAGCAGTACAAGCATGTCTGAATAAAACTATTATGTTTACAAAATTTGGAAAAGCTTTCTATTTGCCTTATTTTGGGATAATACATTTTTTTCCCCTTGATTTTCTTTGAGAAAACAAAACCTGTCAACAACAAGAAAAGACAATTGAGGAAAGTGCTTCTGAACTTATGCTATTATGTCAACGGTATATAACACTTATGAATGAGTTTGTCAGGGATCATTACACTCCTAAATCAGCAATATGCTTCCCTAAAGTAAACTCACTACTTTGGCTGCTATCACAGCATCTGCAGTGACAACATGTTCTAAACTCTCTACAGTTATACAGTACAGTCCAATGCTCAAGTAATTAATTGAATATAACCATATGTCCATTTACTGAATCCATGTTGCTGTGTAGCCACTGCAACAGTTGGACAGCTTGTAGACCATTTATTATTACAAAGTTGGGTTATTTTAATGTGATAATTAGATAGCACAACCATCGCTGTGAATCATAAATGAGTGTTACAGATAGCAATTTTCGAAAATATAAGACTCCTATAGACATACATTTACTTGCAGAAGTGCAAGTGAATGCAGTTGGTTTTTTGGTGTTTTTTTTTTTTTTTTTTTTTTTTTGGCAACACAGGCAAAGGTCAACAACTCCAGTAAACAATTATCATTAGGTTTCTGAAATTTATAGAATAATATTATCAGAGTAAGCCATTAGTGTTCATTCTTCTGTCAAAGAAGAATGTAATGTCTTTTAAAAATACTTACAGAACAAGAAAGCGAAGTACGCATTGAATCCTGGGGCAATAACACTAGATCTTCCTAGGTAAAGAGGTTAGGTTAGTTTAAAATAAAATGTTTTGGTCAGTTCTCTCTGTTAATATCAAAGTAGATTTATGACAAGCATTACTGAGTAGGAAGAAAAGAGCTTCAATAATTCAGATAGTCTACTTCTATACATCGTGATGTACACTAGACCTGCTTTGAAAGTAACGCCCCTATTTTATTATGTTGGCCCATGATGTCGGAGGCAGATGTCGGTGGCATGGCAGTATAGGTTAGACCTTCCTGCCAATATTTTGGGTTTTTTTGCCACGTGACAGATGGCAGCAGAGGTACACTCTAACAGAATGGATTTTGACACAGGAGTGTGCATGATGCGACGGTGCACAACTGCGTTCTTCTACATGGGAAAAATGGTAACTACTGACATTCATGGACACCTGCTGAATATTTATGGAGACCAAACAGTGGATGTGAGCACAGTAAGGTGATGAGTGGTGCATTTCAGTAACGCCAACAGCAACATGAAAGACAAGCTACATTCCAGTCAGCCATGTACAGATGACACAGAATGAAATGAAGAGTGTTTCAATCAGCTCATCTGTGCAAATTGGCTATGGTGGTGACTATGTTGAAAAATACTGCTTTGTAACTGAGAATTTTCTCTATCAAATAGTGCTATTGTGTTCTTTCTATCAGTTGTAGTTTCCATGGAAATAAATAGGAGGATTTACTTTCAGTGCAACCTGGGTATATCTTCCGTGCTGTTTTTCACCTTCACAAAGCAAATCCATTAGTATGTGAAAGTAATTTAATTAGTTCAGAGTCATTGTTTTGTTATAGGAAAGTTCATCATTGAATCTGGAAATGTAACTGGGTTCAGAGAAGTTTCAGAACAATTTAATGAAAAGAAAATTGTGGCAGAACAAAGGATATGAACCACAGCACCAATTCAAGACCCATTATCTGGCCCAGTTTTAGGATCTCTACCAAGTCGTTGCCTAAAAAAACCTAGGAGAAAGTGCAGTCACATTTCTCCTTGGAGAAATGCTGTTCTTTCGAATCACCCTTTGCATTACTTGCACCTTTCCATCTCTGATCCCCTTGTTAATCAAGAGTAAGTCCCTCTACACCCTGGTACTTAACAGTGGATGTATCCAGTAACAGCTGCAAGAAGCAGATCCCACACAGCAATATACTAACTGCAGAGCTTTTACTGGCTGTAAAAGAAATCATTAGGCCAGCCTTTTTTCTTTTTCTTTTTTTTTTTTTTCTCCTTTCAGAAAGAAGATATGAGCTCATTAGATTCTCAGTACTCATAATAGTAAGCAGGATACACACATCACTCAGCTTAAGCATTTTATACTGCAGAAAAAAAATGCTTTGTTCTGTTACATTAATCTAGTTAACATTGGATTAACGAGATAGCTCACAAAGGTAGAAGAGAAAGAGAGTAGGAGACAGGCTTTTATTCACTGTTATAAGTATCCAGGGCAAAATCTTTCTTGATTCAGAATAGTATTTATCCAATTGGTCTTAGGAAATATAAAGATGATAACAATCAAACAAGTATTGTAGTGCGTAAAAACTAATATATTACATTAAGCTTTATTACATTAACATCAACAGTAATTTCAACAACAATTAACTCTTTAATTCCAGTTACCAAATTTAACTGCTCACCACAGGAGATCAGTTAAAGGAATTTGCAGGAAGCAGTGGTAGCAGACAGTAAAGGTTTTCCCTTTAATTGTCTGCTAATGTGTTATCATCCACAAAAATCCTTTTAAACTGTGCTTAAAGAACTAGAAGGCAGTCTTTCAAGAAAAATTCCAAAAGTTTTTAGTATTAGAACAACAATTTGATTTGTTTTAATTTTACTATATCGTTAGACTGAAAGACATAAATTGAGCAAACACACTTCCCTTACCAGCAGAAAACCTGATCAAATTCGAAGTGAGTATAAACTGTGATTTTAAACATACTATCTATTCAAATCTCGTGCTAGCTTTCATGTGGGCACTCATATATCTTAGGAAATATTTATCAGTTAGACACACAGTGCTCACTCTCTTCATCACAAAATCAGATCTATTTCTACTTTGACAATTTTCAGTGACACAGTAATGGTGGTTACTGGATTTCTTATCAGTTTTCCATGCATTAATTTTTCTATTCAAAAATTACAGATTTCCTTATAGACAGAAGCAGCAGATGCATGCACTAGACAGAACAGTCACTGAAAACCCAAGCTCTCATACCCAATCTCTCTTACATTCTCAACTCCATATGGTGCTTAATAAAGAAAACTTTTCAA